CATCCTCGAAGGAGAAGGAGCTCCGAGAGGTTGAGTGGAATAATCGTGCACGAGTTACTCTGGGCACTTCAGATTGTGGGCGGACATCTCTCTGCAGCTGGGGTGCATATACTAAGAATGGTAAACAACTTCTACAGGCGTCATGTAACAGACGAGTATGACTCAGCGTCCCACCCTATAAGCATGTGCTCGAAATAGATCATCGTCGACGTTCTCGAAAATGCTCACCCGCATGTTCCATTATTAGGATATCTTAAGTGGACTTTGGACTGCATTGTCGAGTGCAACTTCCTATGCGATTGCAATTACAATACCTGTCCACTTCGAGTTGTTCAGAAGGGCCTCACAAAACGGCTTGAAGTGTTCTGGTCGGCTCCCGTCCTCGGAGCGTCAGTTTTACAAGTCTTTATCGGTCAGGACTGGTCGCGAACGAGGTTGGGGAGTAAGGTCATTAGATGTCATCAAGGTGAGCGAAGCCTTCGATAGGCTTCCGGGACTTGAAATTGAGGGACTGGCGCGCGCTATAGGCAGGAGCGTTCATATGCGAATATGCCGGCGAGCTCTTGCCAGAGAGCGTCGCTGAGACCCGAGGAAAAGAACTCAGTGATAACTACCTTTTCGACCTAGCCCGTCATGGTGCTGGTAAAATGTGAGTTCCATATTCACAGATGTACTCAGCTGTGAACTGATCCCCGTAGGTGGAAAGTAGGGGCAGCCGGCTCACAGCCTCCACGAAAGAAGAGATCAACACTAGCTGGTGATCTCGAGATGGAGACGGACTTGAGCGGAGAGGTGCAATACTCTGACTAATCGTGCTCAGATGCCTTGTCTCTTTAGAGCTATCAGTGTTCGGCCTCTGAAGACGATCAGTCGGTGGGTTCCTCGAGCTGCGAGCATGACACAAGGAATTCTGAGTTTACTATTGATGCTTGTTATTTTGGCAATGTTGGTGCGTCGCGAATTGCTTGTTGCAGTAGTAGCTGTTGGGACAATACTGACTGTAGGTCGGTTCGTGAATCACAGCTGCTCACCCAACCTCATCATACAACGAGTTCTTGTCGATACTCACGACTACCGTCTTCCTAGGCTGGCTTTGTTCGCAGAGACTGATATCGATCCTCTATATGAACTCACGTAGTATCCAACGACTGCTAGCTGGCTCCAATTCCCCCCCCCCCTCACAATCAGATATGACTACGGCTACCGTGTAGGCTTGGTGGCAGGCAAGACAATGGAATGTAGGTGCGGATCAGCTAACTGCAAGAGGAGACTTTACTGACCAGCTCCGAGCTCAATTTCGTAACGTCCAACACAACTGTATTGCGCTATTAATACTTTTAAGCTACCTGTTCATTTTACTGGACGATTGCTTGCGAAAATGGGATCCTTCCCCTATGAATAACGATGTTGCTGCCGACGGCCGCCTCCGTGGGAAATATGATGGTAAATTACCCTGGAGGCGCAATTTTAACACGTGTATGCTAAGAACATGTGGAGAAAACTTTTTTGATTTTGATAAAAGATTTTCATAGTCCAAAACGAGAAAATGTTGTAACTTCGGTAGTTCGACGATCAGGAATCTGAAAGAGATGAGTGTCCGATGTTTGAGTAGTATCATCCCAAGAGGAGGAAATACCGTTATCGTTACCATAGTCAACTTCTTCGTTACCGTACACAACTCTGTTGATAATCTCCAGGGAGAGATTTTTTTGTGGAAACAGAATTATGCACGTTTGACATGGTAGATTATACGAGTCACAAGTGAAACGTTCATCAACCTTAACTAGTCAACCAAGTAAACAGAGCCCGCCGAGAGACGGGCGGAACAATGGTACGTAGTATTAGCTTTACTACAGTGGAAAGGTTAAGGAATTCACCATCAACTACGATGCCGCCACAAGACCCTCCCGCTCTCTTGAAGCACGGCTTGGCTGAGTTCGTCCAGAATGTCGTGGTTGCAAGCTCCCTACTTCACAGTATATGATCTGCGTCAGGAAGACAGGCCTGAGACAAAAAGGAAGCGACGTATTCATCTTCGGCATTCCTAAGGTTCAAGCAAAACTCCAAAACGCACTCGCTCAATTTCAAGAGCCGCTTCCTACACTTACCGTCAGCGACTAACTTATCTGCTTGAATACCTGACGGCCTTATCCCCGCCGCTCTTCTGGCATCATTCAAAAGCGCACAGTTTTCCACTAGATGGAGCGTGCAGCCGTCTGGATTACCACATGGACAACTGGGGATGGCCTCAACCGTAGTAGATAGCGCAGATGCGGCGTCGGTAATTGCCCGGTCACGAGTGCCATTAGCGCTGGCGATGTCTCGTATCTCGCAAACTTTAAAGCTGCTGAGAAGGTACCGAACATAGAGCGCACAGTGGAACCCAAGGTTTCTCTGGTGGTATTCCACCATGTGCTCGCGGGCCGCAGGGCCCGCGAGCCGCGAGTCGCGGCCTCCCATAATTTGTCACAAATCAAGCTTTCAGTGTGAGTTCTAGACCTAGAGTTCTACAGTTGTAGATAGTTGCAAGAAGTTCGTCGACGGCCATAGCTGATGGATCGTCTCCATCTAGTCTCTTCAATGTATCTTGTAAGTCCACCAGCTTTCCGATATCTGGGGTCGTATCTGCCCAGTAGCTCTTTTGTTTTCTCAGGTCGCGTAGGGCCGACTCAAGACTTGGAGAGATGGATCTCAGAGATTTCCCTCCAACCATTCGAGGGGGAGTTGTTTGAAATGCGGTGTCCTTTGGCGATATGCCGGACGGCGGAGGGGGCACTTCAGCGTCACTGGGAACAGGTTCGCCGTCTCCAATTGCCCGGGCTCAGTTACAAAATAGCAAAGGAGCAAATAGCAAAAAAGTGCCAAATAAGCTGTAATGTACATTTCCTGCGGCTTTTGCTGTTGTGCTAGTGTGTAAAAACGCTATGGCTGATATACAGAAGAGCAAAGTAGCAAAATACACTTAAGATATACGCAAGTTTGCCGTTTTGTATAACAGAAACTGCTCGAATGAATATCGTTTGCTTGTTTATATTTCAGAAAGTTGCTACAATGTATGAAAGTTGCCGCTATGTGAAGTGCTACTATGTAACGAAATTGAGCAATTTTGCTCAAAGAGGGGGCAAACCAATAAATTGCTCCTTCTACTATTGAGCAAATTGCTACTTTTCAGAGGAGCAATTTGCCGCTTTACGGATGGGCAACCCCGCAATGGAGCAAATTTTTGCTGTTCTACAATGGGAAGAAGAAATTGAAATTTCGCAAGCGAGAGTCGAACCTTGGTGGGTTGTTGGTGATTGTGTTGAGCATTGCATTATAGTCATTGCAGTTCGCACATGGTCACAGAAGGGACCGGGAACGCCGGCAAGGGATTCTCGAGCAACTCAGGAAGCTCAAAGAGAGAACTCGTAGTAGTGTCAGAAGTAGTGATGGGGGAGATACTGGTGGTATTGAGATTGTGGATTGAAACTTTCGCTATGCTCTGTATTATGTTCGCAAGTAGAGGATTTGTGCTTACATGGTAGTTCGTATTGGGCGGAATCACTCGTACTGAGTGATCCGAGATCACTTATTTGGATCAACATGGATCACTCATCTGCAGTGTAGTGCTGTATTGCAGGCACCCCAGTGGTGCCCATGCGAGATGTCGTGGCTTTCATACTCGCATCCTGATCCCTACGTGGCCTATTGCATGCGAACCAATATGCTCTTCCGTAGTCTGAGCAAATACTGGTCATTGCAGAAAGATGCCCCTCGCGAAAATCGAAATTATCGAGGAAAGAGGCAGGCTGGCTTAGCACTCCGCATTGTTGGCTTACTCCGGCGCAGAACAAGTTCTTCCGAGGTACCAGATGTGATGAGATAGTGCGAAAGAACTCGCCTAACAACAATGCTATTCCATTGGTGAAGGAGTA